CGTAACTCTGTTTTGCATGACATCAGCCCACATCGGTTAGGAACGCCTGGCTATACAGGTTACTATTGTTGCGACCATCATATTTACATCGCGCGATAGCAAAGTGGATACTCCGTGCGGAGTAACCACAAAAAAGAATATAAGACAAGCCTCTGCAACCAGGTTAATATTAAAGCTTTCCCAAACTGTTATTCACTTATATCAAGAGTCATAGCGTTGTTCGGTAATATAATAATTATATATATTTTAATTCCTGTCACTTCCTTTGTCCTCTAGACCAATCAGCTTTTCGGCCATGAAACGGCCGCCGAACACGGCTCTCGATAGATTGTGTCAGGCTCTCTCTCCTTTCTCGCTCCGCCCTAAACCCCTTCGAGAGAGCCTGATACTCAGGCTATTACTCAGGACAATACAATCGTGAGTAAAACTGTACAGGCATCACTGAGCCAACACATTATATTACGCAAACTACACTGAAGATAACACTAGCCACATCAAAAGCACAAACACATTCAATGCTGATAATACCTTACAATTCTTTGCAGTCAAAAATGTTCGCCACTGCGATGTCGGTGTTACAAAAGGAAGAGACTTATAGAATGTTAGACAATAGATTCACGGGGCGTCACGTGATATAACAACACAAGAAACTTTCAAATCTTTTCCTGTATTACCAATATTATAAATTTATTGTCATATCATAACCGCGATGTGGAATTCGTTGCATACCTTTATATGCTAACAGCAGAGAGACAGCAATTTGTGACGAAAGGTACTTAAAACAAGTCCAAAGGAATCATAATATTCACAAAAAATTCTTCCCTTTTCAATTTCTCCTTTTTCTTTGTTTCTTTTTTTACCTCTTTTTTTCTTTTTCTTTTGTTTTATATTAATTTGATCGTCGTCATTGCCTAATTATTTTCATGATTGACAATTCTATATGACTTTTTTCTTTAGTCTTCCAATTATTTCCTTTAAAAATGTTATCCTTTTTTTACCGAAAACTCCTAACACTATGAAGTTTTTATTCTCGAAACCAAACCAAAGCTAAAAACATCTCGAAAATACTCCCAAAACACTTAACGTATGAAGAACTAAGTGAATTTCAATAACGTTATGCACCTGTCTTGAACCAACGGGGGGAGTGCGAGCATACCTATAGGGTTTATTGACATTTTTCATATTTTTTTGTCAATTGTCCCCATTTTTGGGGATATTTATTTTCATATTTGTCAAATACCCCCCATGTTGCAGTGGCGGATCCAGGATTTTTCAAAGGGGGGTCCACTTTGTTTTCGCATTTTCCTAAAACGAACTTTTTTACTTTGCCTCTCGAACTGTAGCAAATGTAACGTGAATGTACATGTATCTAAAACTTTTATCAAAGCCTCAACTATATTTCATTAGACTACTGTTCCAGTTTAATAAAAACACAGGGTGTGATAGACCAGGGACGTGGGAAGAGATCATTTCTTCCCACGTCCCTGGATAGACTTTGTGAAAATCCATTGATGATGCTGTGTGTATTAAAATTCTTACACACCAGGTGGCATCATTTATACTTGAAGAATCTTACCTTCTTCACAACCTCTTGCCACCTTTCTGCCATTTTAGAACATTTGGGGCTCCAAATCATTTTGCACTCCCCCCGTTGTGGCAAGATATTGGGCCATAGGCC